CTTCCTCCTCTGGCCAGATGTGTCTCTGAGACACAAAAGGCAGACAGACAGACAGACAGACATCGGGCCTGATGCAAAGGCCTAAATGGAAAGACTCTCATTGACTCCAGGGGGCTTTGGATCAAGCCCACAAATGATAATCATATCAATAAAGACCTGGGGGGAGATGCTCAGTCCTGCTCCGGTGTTTTACCCTGAGCGTTAAAAGCTCTGGTCACGGAGCATTCCCCTGGAGCAGACAGCTGTCAGGCTGGCCTCTGAGGGCCCCCTCACAAACTGGCATGGGGGCACATCAGGAACCGAGCTACTAAATACAGCCCTACAGGGATCCCCAGCTGTCTAAATTATGCCGGGGCCTCTCCAGTCCATAGAGCAGCACGTGATCCGGAGATGCTAAGGGGGCTCCATGGCTGCCCGTGCGTGGGTTAGGAGCTGCATGTTGAGTCTCTTAATGGTGCAGCCTGTCACCCTTAGTATTTATCGTTATTAAGTCCACAGGACCGTCTGACACAGCATTTGTGCGAGGGGGAGACAAGGGTGGATCACTTCAAAATTGCCCTGTTCTGCACAATCTACCTGAAGCTCTGGTACTAGCCACTGTCAGAAGCAGGAACTGGGCTAGACAGACCATTGTGCTGACACAGAATGGCAGCTGTTATGACTGGGCCCTCCGGACCTTCAGTATGAGCTCAGCTTCCCAGACCCTTTCGGGGTCATCTCAACGCCCTCTGATCTCTCTAACGCGCTATCTTTCTCATATCCATTGTGCTCTCTTGCTCAGCTTTCCTTGCTGTAGGTGATGATCTCACACTCACCCACACCAACCAGCCGCAGGGTTAAGGCACTGGATGGAGATGGAGGAGAGCTAGGTTTAATTCCTGGCACTGTCACAGACATCATCTAAATCTTGGGCAAGTCACTTACTTGTAATCCCTTTGCACCTCAGTTTCCCAGCGGTAGACTCTCACTCTGCTTTATTTTAAAAGCTTTAAAATTAACAGCAGTAAGAATCATTTTAGCAGATTATTTTGTATTACTGAAGATAAGGTCTTTAATCAAGGGAACAACGCTGCACTGGCCATAGAATTGAACAGACCAGAGGTCTCCATCTCTAATTTCCATGACTCTGAAGCCAATTATACAATTAGAAAAAGCCAAACTTCTGTCCAAGGAATTTATTATTTCATTTTAATGTGCAAATGCAAGAACTACAACTGTCCTGAATGGATGCTAGCTAGATTTACCTAAGTCCTCTTAAAAACATCTTCTTTGGACAATGTTTGGTCCAAAATCCTTGTAATCAGCTGCGGTGATCCACATTTGCTTGAAGCTGGTCAAGGAAGTAATTACAGAAGCCCCGATCCATGCAGAAAACCACCTGTCTGTGGGTGCTATGATCTTTATAGGAACCCCTTTGGGGGCCTGGTGTTCTAGTCCCTTAAAAATCCTCTCATCCAGGCCATGAAAGAGGGACGAACCACCCGACAGCACCATGTTCCCATAGAGAGTGTTGTGAATATTGACGTCACACTTTGAAACACTGTGAGCGATCATCCTATGAAGGCCTGGTGCATCGTTACCAGTGCTACCTGGCACAAAGAGGATCTCTGGGGCTTGAAAGAGTGGGCTGCCAATACTAACTAGAGTCCCATCAGGTAGTTTATATTCTTTCAGGACCTCCTCTGGCCTCTTGGCTAATTCTCTGTGTGGATCTGGAGCCACGTAGCACAACTTTTCCTTGATGTCCTCTATGATACTCTTCTTCCCAGCAAGACTCTCAAAGCGTTGCCCACTTTCCACAAGGAGCTTCCCGAGGAACTCTGTGATATCTCTGCCTGCAACATCCAGCCTGGAGACGGCATGGGGTAAGTAGTACCCTTCATAGACTGGTACCGTCTGGGTAACAGCAAATCCACTGTCTATGACCAGTCCTGTGATGCGTGCTGAGGCATAGAGGGACAATATGGCTTGGACAGACAGGTAGAAAGCAGGCACCTTAAACCGTTCAAACATCAGCTGAGTCAGTTTTTTTCGATTCTCCATTGGGTTCAAAGAGGTCTCAGTCATTAGCACGGGCCTCTCAAAGGCTTTCAGTCCCAATTCATGCTCATAGATATGCTTCCAGATCTTCTCCATATCATCGCAAGATGTAACTATACCATGTTCAATGGGATACTTCAAAGACAACACATCCTGTTTGTGCTGGGCTTCTCCTCCCACATGGCAGTCCTTCTGAGCTGCTCCTAACAGTGACATTTTTGTTTTGGGGCAGCCAATAACCGTAGGAATGATGTGTCTTGGACCAATTTCTCCTGACAGACCAGCTTTACATAGCCCTGATCCATTGTCAAAGATCACAGCTGGAATATCTAAAGTTTGGGGATTCAACATCACTTCAGCTTTCCCCCTAGACCTTAAATAGTTTCTGAAAAAGCTGCTTCTGGGAAGCTTAGTTGTGAAGGTTTAAGGATGTATCTTCCAACCTTATCTTCTCAGTTTTACAAGATGACAAGCTCTGCTAGTCTCCAAAGTCTAGGACTGATGCTCCTAACTTTGACCAGGATTCAGGATTTTTATCCCCACTCATGTAGTGGCAAGGAAGGCATTTCCAGTGCTTAGTCCTGTAACACACAACAATGGATGAGCTAGATAATGATTGTTTGGTGGCCATTACAACTGAAGCAGATATATTCAAGCCTTTCAATGTATTAACTCACCTAGTCATATGTATCAGGGAAATTATTAAGAAATTTAAAATATAGATTTTAAGGATTTGAAATGCACTGAATCAGAGAGCAATGCACCATTTGCTTTTATAAGGCTCTGAGCATTTTTAACATTGAGACATTTAGGTACATCAGTGCTCATTTTCAATGAGCTGAATCCTTTTCTGATCACTTTTGCCAAACAGAATATGCGTCTCTCCAGGGGATTATACCAGCTCCCGTCCCGCTCCACCCACCTACACAGTTTGGTTGAGTTCTGAAGTTAGCCAAGATTGTGGCACTAGCGTATCATTTTGCTTTGCCTAAGGATGACTATATTCAGTAGGTTCATATACGGTACAGTGAACCTACTGAATATAGTCCTTGAAGAAATTCTCCTCTCTCTTCCAGCTGCTGCTCTGGTGCCCCCTAGTGAAATGTGTGCTACCCAGTCTGGGGCACTGATGCACAGAGATCCGTCCATTAGAAGATGGGCCCAGCTGTGAGTTAAGCAGTGTACTCAGCAGTACACAGAATTGGAAGATCAGCAAATCTGATGTGATTTTATCTTCTGAAGGAGAAGGCTCTAAGGGTAGGGTCTATACAAAACAAACAAAAAAACCCCCAAGGCAGATAGTTGGGCTCAGGCTGGAACTCGGGCTCTAGAGCCTGGGGAGGTTTTCGGAGCCTGAGCTCCAACCGCAGCAATTGCATAGTTACGGTTAGAGTGCGAGCCTGAGGCTGTAGGCCCAGGCTCTGAGACTTGTTTTGAGGAAAGGAGGGTTTGTCGTGTAGACACACTCTAAACGTCCATGTGCCAACAAGCAAAACCCCACCTCCTGGACTCGGGCCCTTAAACCCAGAAAGTCAATAACTGTCTGAAATGACCGAGAGCAGGGATAGGCATTTATTTTTGTCCAAATTTCTTGGTCAAGGTCCAGACTCCAGAGCAAAGAATAAAAAAAAATTAAAAATGATAATAATAATAATTAATAATGAAATAAAAATATGGAGGGGTCTGTTCAAAAGCATCTGGTGGTCTGGATTTGGCCCATGATCCACCTATTGACTATCCCCGACCTAAGGGTTATTAGTACAATTATGAACCATGACAGTGTAAAGGAAAATGCCTTTTTATGTGCTGAAAAGATAGGCTTCTCTTGGTATTAATTAATTAAATAAACATTAATTAACATTATTCATTTGTATTACCACAGCACCTAGGAGCCTTGGACATGGCCCAGGACCCCGTTGTGCTAGGCGCTGTACAAACACAGAACAAAAAGAAGGCCCCTGTCCAAAAAAGCTTCCAATCTACCTCTGAGACAGGAGACAATAGATAGGTACAGATAGGCGGCCTGTGGAGGGGTGGGGTACAAGGAAACAAGGAGACAATATTAGTCAGCACAAGAGGCAGCAGTATCCGTTGTCAAGATTTTCGTAGGCAATATGGCAAAGGAGAGTTTTAAGGAAGGAGGATAATGAGATCACTTTACAGATAAATATTTACAGGGAGCTGCACCCAAGACTGCACAAGTCTTGTTCTTTCTGGAGCAGCTAAAGGCCTCATTCTGCAAATGCTTATGCGCATGAGTAATATCAGTAAAGGGGATCGTCCCATCAGGGTCAATGTTTGCAGGATCAAGTTGCAACACAGTAAAGATTTGGAAAGCAGAACTTCCGTCTTAATGTTCTTTTAGGGTCGTCACATTTGTTTACCATAAGCTGGATCGCTATACCAAAGATAACAAAACATAAGCTATCCACACTGCCCCCATGACTCTCCAGCCCTGCTTTGTGTTGCTACATTAGGAGAGAAAGGTTCAGCCAGACCTGACTCCAATTCTAGGTTTGATTTTTTTTTTTCTCTTCGTGGTAGGAGGAAGAGCATTTTGGGGCTACTGTATTCAGTCAGTGGTGAGAAAGAATGGCTCCCGCTGCTTTAGGGTGACCCCTCTGGCCTGCTAAGGAACAGCATCCGTGCCTCTGAAGGGAGTCCCAGCCAACACTGAGTAGAGATCAGATGGATGACAGGTGCAAATAAGGATGTGAAGACGTGGGAGCAAGAAGAAGTAGATAGGGGAGGTGGTAGAACACTGTGCACCCTTTGAGGGGGATAGGAAAACAACAGCCATTCTGAACAAGGTGGTATGTTTCTAATGTTTTATTTTCTGTAATGTTTGGTCAGCCAATAAATACACAGACCGCTGTAGCATCTTCTGGTTCACATCTTGGGAGCATTTCTTGAGCACCATCTATTCGAATGAGACACTGGTTCAGTTGCGTAGTCTCTCCTTAAAAGCATTTTCTGTGAACTACAGCTGCACCAAACTCTTTGTAATCACTGACGGTGACCCACATTTGTTTAAAAGATGACAAGCAAGTGAGGATGGAGGCCCCAATCCACACACAGTACTTCCTCTCGGGCGGTGCGATGATCCGTACGGCCATCCCGATGGGCACCTGCCGCTGCATCTCCCTCAGGATCCGTTCATCCAGTCCAGGAAAGAGGGTGGACCCACCGGAAAGAAGCACATTGCCATAAAGATTCCTGCGAACATCAATGTCACATTTCATCACACTGTTGAAGATCATTTTGTGCACCCCGGGGGCTTCAATACCAATGTTAGCGGGCAAAAAAAGGGTCTCTGGGGCTCGAAAGAGCTGATTGCCGATCTTAATGATATTTCCATCAGGCAGTTTGTACTCTTTGAGGATTTCTTCCGGCTTTGCTTTCATTTCCTGGACGGGATCTAAAGCCACGTAGCACAGCTTCTCCTTGATGTCCTTCACGATCTCCCTCTCGGCTGTGCTCACGAAGGAGTGGCCACTTTCCAAAAGGAGTCTCATGAAGTATTCAGTGATATCCCTGCCTGCGATATCCAACCTAGAAACAGCATGGGGCAAGCAGTACCCTTCGTAGACGGGCACGGTGTGGGTAACGCCATCTCCACTGTCCATGACTATCCCCGTGGTGCGTGCTGAGGCGTAGAGCGCCAAGGTCGCCTGCACTGCGACATACATGGCAGGCACCTTAAAGCCCTCGAACATGATCTCAGTCATTTTTTCCCGGTTCCGCAGGGGATTGAGCGGGGCCTCCGTCAGCAGCACCGGCCTGTCGCTAGCTTTGATTCTCAGCTCACACTCGTAGACATGTCTCCAGATCCGCTCCATGTCATCCCAGGACGTAACTATGCCATGGTCGATTGGATAATTCAAACTTAAGACACCCCTTTTGGACTGGGCTTCTTCTCCAACATAAAATTCCTTCTGCCCTGCGCCGAGCATCGTTGCTTTGGCTTTCGAGCGACCAACAATTGCTGTAATAACTGACCTCGGTGCACTGTCCCCTGCAATACCAGCCTTGCATAATCCAGATCCGTTGTCAAATATCACAGCTGGGATATCTAAAATTTTAGGGTCAAACATTCTTTGAACTATTTGCTGCCTACCTGAAAGCTGCTTTCGGGAGATGCCATGCAGGCAGAATGTTTGATAATAAATGTTCTAGATTGCTGATGTCATACACGGCAGAGTCCTCTCATTCTCCCACGCTATCAACCAGGCTGTTACGCTACTGACAAATGCCAAGGCAGGTTTTTGAGGAATTTTCAGTTTCCCATTTCTGCTCTCAAGTACCTAACAATGGACCAGTGAAGTAATAATGGTTTTGCTGAAGAGTCAGCTGTCAGGGCTGTACAGATTTGAGTGCTGATCTCAGATACATCCCTGAAAAATGGCTTGCTTAGATTCCTAGATTCGCAGAGTATCAGGCCAGAAGGGACCATTATATAACACAGGCCAGCAAATTTCAGTCGTTTACTGAACCCAATAATTTGTGTTTGACTTAAGCGTCTCTTACAGAAAGGCATGTCTTGATTTGACCTGATCCTGGCTGGAGCCTCCAGGTGCTACCAAATACAAATAAAAATAATCAACTGTTTACACCAAAGCACACATGTTCATAATGCCTCACCAACAACTAATACTCAATGCTTTTCCCCCCAACCTGTATTATTCCTACCAGGTTTTCTCCAGTGGCTGGTGACACTATAAGAAATATTCTGTTATGAATATACAGTTTACTAGCTTTTTTTCATAAGCTCCATATGGACTCATTTATGGACTGTGAGCTATTTAAGAATCACTCTCGAACCTGCTTGCAAAGTGCCTGCTTGAAAATAATTAAACCTCTCACGTGCACCCACACCTTAACTAATAATCTGCAAATATTGCCAACAGCTGTTGAAGATGGGAACAACTTCGCTTTTGTGGGGTATCTAGCTGAATATGCCTGTTTGATTTCTGAACAGTGCCTGCACCAAAAGCAGAACCTTTCACTTAATTCTTTTCAATCCTACATGCAGAACTCCTAAAAAATATAATTTTTAAACAGAACGGGGCTACATTTGGTACTGGTTACGGCATTCTGTTTCTCGTCAGTCTTTGCTATTACTTACTTTCAAAGCTCTACCTTACCTGCAAAAAATCATGGAAGTGAAAAACAAACAGGTCATTTTTGCAGATTTTGCTGTTTTCAGGAGACTAGCTTTCTTTAAATGAAGCGTCTAACACTTTCCATTGAAAAAAAAGCACCTTTCCTAAATGAACCTACCTATTGTGCTGCTGCCAGATAAGCCTGCTTGCAAACAAACATCCTTCTTCCCTTCTTAGCCTTTATAATCACAGCACATTCCGGGGGAGAACCAAAGTTCCAAAAGTTTTGAAATATTCTGTCTGTGACATTTGACCTCAGTTTTACACCTATTTTTTCTTTTTGCTTTCTTTTTAAATTGTATTTTTGATTTAAGAAAAGGTTTCCTGAGGAAGGTTTCTATCATTAATTTTGGAATATACTTCTGAACACAATCAGGTCTGACAACCCAATCCCAGTTACAGTGAAAATTTCCTTTAACAAAAATTACCATATAACTTAGTTTCGAATCCAGGGCTCTTGTAGTTTAATTGCTTCTCTTCATGGCTTTAAATCTAGGGCAGCTTCAAAGTGAAGGTGGCTTCTATTAAATTTAATTACTTTCTTTTGCAGCTTGCACGGCAAAGGTGCCAGCTACTAAGTGAAGGTGGTTATGAATCAGAGGCAGATTCCAAAGAAAGATATATTTAAAATCTCTACTGAATATATAAATCCATGACTGTTAGTGCAGGGACTTTTCTGCCCCAAGTGAACTTAAAAAAACTCACCAAAACCAAAAACGTAACAGCTGATAAGTGATCGACTCCATGCATGTTCTTTCCATTTCAGCCTAGATTCCACACATGTTCGTGTTAAATGCTGCTCTATCCATTTTAGCAATTTCTCTAATCCTCTAAATATTTGTGTACATATATTTCAATGTGCGGCACATTTATTTCCATGTGCACTTCTATATTAATGTCAACAGGTGTCCTAATCATTTAAGAGGTTGTTATATTCATCGCAATAGAAGCCCTATTTAGTTCAGCATGTTCAGTGTGCTGTTTACAGTGAAGTATTCAGTATAGAACATAATGTTTATTATTTAAACAAGGGAATTTTGACTGCAATTATAAAACAGTAGTTAGGCTGAGAGGTTGGAACACCCATCTGGACCCAACATTGGCCCTCCTTTATAAATCATCATAACAAGGTCATGCATGAATTATTACCCTTTACTTTCTTACTATTATGTTTGTAACAATGTGTGTGAATTTGCTGCTCCCGTCAATTGGAAGTAGTGGAGACTGAAGACCTCTACTCAGAACAGGTACAACATGGAGCAAGAAAAGTTTCCTTTATGCCCCCTTGACAATGTGGTTCAAACCTGACCTGGCAGGAACATATTTTGGCGTGAGAAGTTAGTTCATTCTCCATGGCCCATTCAAATCTTGGTCCTGCAAGTCTGCCAACAGCTGTCAATTGTCAGGGAAATATTTGCCCACCAGAAACAGGTGAGACCACCAGTTTCCTTTCACACAGGCCACTGAAGAACAAGCAACTGATAATGAACTGGCACCCAAGGAAAAAAAAAAACCATTGGAAATATTTTAATATGTGTATTCTACAAAATTTCTGCAGACACTTCATAAACGGTGTCAAATTCATATCAACAGACACTGGACTTTATAAGTGAAAGGGCACAATCCACAAAAAAAAGTTAAACATGCTACTAATAGGGCATTCTTGCTTATTTTATTTGAGAAGTGCTGAGCATACCGTTTCCACTGAAAACACCGTACACAGCTTTGTGCGTTGAACATCTCACCTGCCCAGAAATGCTCTCTTCCCGCCCCCAATACTCGGCTAGCTGAACATCTCTCTGGTGGCAAACCCTGAATTCAGGCCAGATTCTGAGTTTGGAAGCCACACAAAAGTTATGGAGTGCGTTTTGCTTGAAGATGTGGGGTTTAAAGGTAAAACAGTGGGGTGTGGGGTGAAGGGAGTCCTGTGCTGAATTAAACCTAGTGCACCCTCATGGCACCACTGAGTGCCTTTGATGCAGATTGTGCAGAACCATGCACAATAAGCCCCTGATCTAGAGCCTCTAGCTGCTACCAAATAGAGAGGAAGGATGATCCACTGGTTGGGGCCCTGGAGTAGGACTTGGAAGACCAGGATTCAATTTCTTGCTGTGTGATCTTGGGAAAGACACTTAACCTATCTGTGCCTCAGTTTTCCAGCTGTAAAATGGGGATTATAGCATTTCCCTACATCACAGGGGTGTTGTGAGGATAAACACATTAAAGATTGGGATGCACTCTGATACTATAGTGATGTGGACCATCTAAGTATCTCAGCAAGAGAATTTATATAAATAATGTATTGTTTAGTGGCTGGCACAGCATTCAAGTCATTATGGAACTGGGCTGCAGGGATGTGAGCCCTTATTAGGGGAAAAGAAAGTGGAACAAACCCTTATGATCTGGAATTGCTAGGGACTGTTAGCAGAATTTGCATAGCTCTAATGATCAACTGGTAGCCTGAAACATGAGGAGTAAATGTCCTTTTAATACTGTTTAAGACAGGGTAGCTACCAACATGGTAGACAATAATTAAATTACCCATATTTTAGTAGAATAAAATCCAGACATACTATTTTACGCTGGATTCCTGTAGCAGTGAGTTCCGCAGGTTAAGCATGCAGTACTGTTTCATTGTTGCCAGTTCTTCTTTTGATTTATACCTATTGTTAAAACCTGGTGTTCAGTTTTATTCCATCCAACTTTTAAATACATTATCAAGTCTCCTAACTCTTCTCCATGTTATTATCCCACTATCTACTCATTTTTTTTTAAGTTTACGTGGATCTCTTTGTTCTCATCTGAATCTTCCTCGAAGATAATCCAGACTGAACAAAATACTGGAAGGCTGGAAAAGGAAGGTAGACTAATTAAATCTAGAAATAAGGTACAAATTGTTACCAGTAAGGGTAATTAACCACTGAAACATTTTCAAGAGTTTTGATACATCCTCTATCACTGGGAATTAGGATGTTTTTCCTAAAAAGATGGGCTCTAATTCAAACAGAAATTAGTTCAAGGAAGTCCTATGGCTCATGTCATACAGGAACTCAGACTGGGTGATGATGGTCCATTTTAGCTGAATCTGCCCCACGGGAAGGCATAAGGTTTACAGAGCATCATTATAATATACTGTACATTGTTTATACAGAGTTGAATACAACTGGAACCTCTGAATGCTAAGCTTGCATCTGAGAGATGCTCAGAACATGCCATGTGCTCAGGGCACATTATTGTTAGTCACAAGACTGCCAGCAGCATACCCTAGGTTAAATCCTGGTCCTGTGGAAGTCACTGGCAAAGCTCCCCAAGATTTCATTGGAAGAGTACTGGGACAAGGAATTTTGTCACTAACCAAACCCATTCCAACTCTGGTACTTCCTCAAATTTCTACAAGTAATCACATTTTACAGTCTAGCACAGTGCTTACAAAAATCTCAGACACGTTGCTCCAAGCAAGAAGTGACATATACATCATCAACTTGACAAGTCGCTTGATGAATTGGTGTTAATTTCTCTCCCAAATATCAAATGAGCTTTGTCGGGCAAGACACAAGTGCCAGTGTGTCAGGGTCCTTTTTGCTCCCTTTCTTCCCATGAATCCCCTATTAAATGTTTATTATTTGTGTGAATTATAGTTTCCATGTTTGCTTTTATGGACGGGGAGAATGGGCCCTGCGTTCGTCGGCCAGGCTAGCTCGTTTTTATATTTCACATCTGTGATAGTGTGTTGCACGACAGGATGATTGATACGGCTTTCAAAATGGATTAAGCTGCAACTTTTAGATTTCAGTGAAGCTTCAAAGAAAACATATTTCTGTGCCTTTTTTTTCATGATGGAACTTCCTTGTTAACCATTGCATGGTCCTAGAGCACCAAGTCAATTGCCAGGGCAAATATGCCTTGCTCTTATTTAGAAGGATGTAACCATA